GCAAAAGTCTACCCAAGGACAGCTACTGAGAAGGAATCCTATTAGGAAGACTCAAGACATGATCTGAATCTAAAGCTTGGTACAAACGCAGTAGATCTATGTGCATTTAGAAGCATCAGACCTCTGATCTGTGGAGTCTGCTGAAAGTGTGCTCAGGTGTCCGCATCTGCTTATGTAAGCAGGGTCGCCCCTGTCTTATTGCCTCACAATGATCGATTTTTTCAGCCTTCGTACGACTTGCCTTGTGTCGAATAGACATCTCAATGGGGGTTATTGAACCATCGGATTCCAATGGTAATGCTACTTTTGTTCAAAAAAATCATGTTCTAAAGTTATGAGTGAAGAGTGAGTGTAAGGTTGCCATGCTGAGGTGCTCAATCAAAGGTCGACTGTCTTAGCCTTTTGATGACTGTAATGTCTCAATCTCAAACTAAATACAACCACAATCGATCTATGTACATTTATGAGCAACAGGTCTCTGATATGTGGTGTCTTGCTTCAAGTGTGCCCACCTATCCGCATTTGCTTATGTAAGCAGGGTCGCCCCTGTCCTGTTGCCTCACTCAAAGGTTGATTTTTTCAGCCTTCATATGACTTGCCTGGCTTCAAATGAAACTTGATTCTAAGGTTATTAACCACCCTGGACGCGATGGCAATGCTTATTTTGTCCGAAAAAATCATGTTTCAGAGTCATGCTACCCCCTCCCCCTACCTACTCCACCATGAAGCATGATTTCATGTATATACTGATGTAAAAAGGATTTGAATAGTGTTTTTGGATCATAAAAATAGATTGAAGATGTGTTCAAAGTGTTTTTGGCCAATATGAAATGTAATGTGTAAGTTGACCTCATACCCCCCCTCAAAGATCGATTTTTCTGGCCTTCCCATGACTTGCCATGACTCCAAATCCATTTTTCCTGGGGGCTCTTGATAGCTGCGAACAAGATGGTCAAGCCCGAATTGTCAGAAAAAATCAGGTGGTCGAGATACAGAAGGTCCTCCTCCCCCCCCCAAACTCACATATCTTCCTATTATGTAAATACCGGTATGTAAAAGGGTGTCCCTACTGTTTTCCAATGATATAAATCGATTTAAAATAATACCAGAGCGATTTGAGACCATACAAAGTGACATGTGCGAATTTGTCACATACCCCCCTCAAAGATCGATTTTTCTAGCCTTCCCATGACTTGCATGCCCTCCAAAAGCATTTTTCCAGGGGGCTCTCAATGTCCCTGAACACGATGGTAAAGCCCAATATGTCAGGAAAAATCAGGTTGTCGAGATATAGAATGTCCTCCTCCCCCCCCCCTACCCCCTATATCGCACCACACTCAAATCTGACTCAAGACCGATACTGAAAATAGTGTTCCTACTGTTTTTCAGTCGTACAAATCGATTGGAGATGGTCCCAGGGTGTATAGAGGTCGCCAATATTGCGGTTTGGTGGAGAGGAAAAAAAGTCAGTATTTCGACCATATCTCCATATTCCAACCGCCGTTTTTCTTAATTCTTGGTTCATATGATTCCTGGAAGATGCCTCTAAATGATGTACCAGCCCAGGAAAAGATATTTTTTCCAAAGTTTGAAACCTATTTCTGTTTTGACCATATAAATGATGTACCAGCCCAGGAAAAGATATTTTTTCCAAAGTTTGAAACCTATTTCTGTTTTGACCATATAAATGGACCACCCCTTGTTTTGCACATTTTTGACATTTCTCAAAATGTGCAAAATGGACCCCCTTTGTTTCGCACATTTTTGACATTTCTCAAAATGTGTAAAATGACCACCCTTTGTTTCGCACATTTTGAGAAATGCCAGAAATGTGCAAAATGACCACCCTTTGTTTCGCACATTTTGAGAAATGCCAGAAATGTGCAAATGGACCACCCCTTGTTTTGCACATTTTTGACATTTCTCAAAATGTGCAAAATGGACACCCTTTGTTTTGCACATTTTTGACATTTCTCAAAATGTGCAAAATGACCACCCTTTGTTTTGCACATTTTTGACATTTCTCAAAATGTGCAAAATGGACACCCTTTGTTTCACACATTTTTGACCTATCTCAAAATGTGTAAAATGGATACCACTTGGTTTGCACATTTTGAGAAATGCCAGAAATGTGTGAAATTGCACATGTGAGTTAGGCATAACCTTGGGCTAACCCCATCCTATTTAACAAAATGTGCTTAGAATCTATTTTGACGATCCTGCCCTCGGCTCCGATGATCTCAATCACGTCTCACAGATGTTCATTTCCGACAAAGCGGGGAAGAATTGCCATGAGCATGACTTGGGGTTGGTCACTCGCATGCATGATTCGATCCAGTGCCTATCGAATCTCCCCTACATCGCTCTTCTTCTTGACCTGAATGCAAAACCAAAGCTCAGTGTCACGTTCCCAGAGAAGGAGCCAAATCACGCTGAAACGGATCGATGTCTGCGGATCTACGCTTCGGGAATAAGCCAAACCACATTTCCGTTCTTGAGCCAACATCCCGAAGTTGCAAGCCGGCTGCGTGGGCTTGTCTCTCGGCAGAAGGAGGCACCATCCCAAACCACTCTCGAACCCCTGGTGAAATTTGGGAGTACTGCTAGGCTACGCAACTTGCAGTGGGAATTACAAGATGCATGATAATTCAATACAACTGGGATCATAACTAAACGATTGCACGTATGTTTCTGTGTATAATAGATCATGATTGTAGTGTTGCTGGTCTGTTCAATCTGTTTCCACCCTTTGTGACCTTGTAGTTTTGCAATTCTTCATTTCACCTTTTCACTTCGTCAGCTGTTGCAATCCTCTACTCCCGGAGAATTTGGTTGGTTTATCAACACGACACTTGAGCATAAATGAAGGTCTCAATTGTGCTAATTAAACACCCACCGCAACTCGGTGATTGGTCATCACAACTGAGTCGCTATGATACAAACTAGAGTTACTAGACGCATTCCCCAAATGGCGTGTTGCGCGAACCATAAACACAGCTACCACTGCGGAAACGAGAAAATGACCAGACAGTACCCACCTTGACAATAGGGGACGGATATATCAAGTTCAAGATTTATGATCACCGCCGTTTCATCCGCCCTCATCACGTACATGGAGGGCAAACACACCAAATGAGACAGTAACCAAGTTGTTATATTCCAGTTCGTGCGTTATGGTCCAAACAGTAATAACAAACATCATGAGTCACTCCGAAGGTAAAAATGAACAAGTCCATCGTTGCATGCAACAACAATCGTCTCAGTGAAGGTAACACAGATAACCCACTACTATCATGAATGTCAGTGTACAGGTATATTAGCATATGCAAGGCTAAAGGATATAGTCAGCAGCACAGTGGATTCATGAGAGGAAGATCATGGCGAAGAGGGTACCAGTGACACCGGCAAGGGTCGAAACGCCAAGAGCGACAGCACCGCCGCTGTGGGTTGCAGCGGCAGCACCAGCCGTGTTCGAGCCAGTCGAAGAGGCCTTAGCGGTAGCGCCGCTCGCTGAAGCGGAGACACCGGTAGGGGTGACTGTGGCGAGGCCAGTATAGAGGGCGGAGCTGGCGTAAGTCACGCAGTTGGACGAGGCGGGAGTGAAAGCGGTGTAGGGTGGGTCGACGACGCCGGAATTTGGTTGAGTGTAAGTCATGGTAACGCCGCCGGTGACGTAGAGACCAGCAGGAATCTTCAGGTCGGAGTCGCAAACCTCGAAGGTACCGTTCTGGGCATTGTTGGGCATGTTGTAAGAACATCCCATGCGGTCGTAGATGTTCTGGCAGTAAGCGGACTGGTTTGCGCTGCTAGAAGCAGGATCACAGATTGTGATACAAAAGGCATCGCCACCCATGAAGCTGTGGTTCGTGAGCACGAAAAAGAGAACTGACCCGAGTTCAACGACTTACTTCGTCCAGTCGATAACTTGCTGGTAGGAGTTGTTGTTGCCACCGTTGCTTGGGAACGCGTTGGAGTACATCAAACCTCCGAGAGGATTCCCACGCTGAATGACCAAGTCAGTTCAACTCTAATCGACAAATGTGGAAGACTCACAAGGTCAGCACCATGAGGGTCGAGTTCTCCTCCATAGTCTTGAGCGTTCATGTTAACCTGAGTCTGGTCGATAAAACCAGCGATTTGAATGTACTCCGATGTGACGAGATACTGAACACCCTGAAGGGCACCATTGGGAATGAGACGAGTGCCGTGACCAGGCTTTGTGCACCATGCAACCTCCTCCTGTTCAGTATCGCCGATAGTGGAGTTGGGGATGGGTGGTGCCCATAAGCAGAAATCTAAAAAATAATGTGGACGTTACGAATGAACACATGCAGTGTTGTTGACAAGAGAACGCACCGTCGATGTGGTTCACCATTGAGGTTTGGCACAAGGAATTCTGGTTCTCTGTGGTGGAGTTACAGATGTTGTAGCCTGTCTGAGGGCCACGGATAGCAGCGGTGTTGTAGTCGACTTGGTAAGGCTTGAAAATTTGATCCTATGTGAACACAGTGCATAACGAAAGAGGACCTGAAGCTCACGATTCCTGACGGGTATGCATAAGTTTTGTCGACAAGTGGTGTTGGGTCGGCCGGATCAGGTTGAGCAGAAACGAATTTTGAAGTCGCGGCGATGGCTAGAAGGACGGAAAGAGTGGAGCGAGACATGTCTCAAAGTCAATGGTGGTGAGGAAACAAAGAACGTTCTGGTTTTATAATGGAGTTAGGAAGCGAGTAAAAAAAAATGGGGCAAAACACGCACTCGGTTATTATATATCCAAGGCTCAAAAATAATTTTAGACACCGGAAATAGAACAGGGACTGCTATACTTAGATCACGTCACCGTTCATGAGGCTTCCTACATGCTTGTTCGTCCTGCAGAGTGTGCTCTGAGGCCTCCTACGTGCTTGTTCGTCCTGCAGAGTGTGCTCACAATAATGTGGCCTCAAATTTATGGTATACACTTACCTGCATCGTGGATGCGACTGATCAATGATGTCGTTTATGTAAAGAAGTCGTGGATCGTTCAACAGTGGGTCATCAATGAGCTTATAGCTATGGTATTCTGCGAGCTGCTCCTGTGTCATCACACCAGTTCGACAACACGTCATGTATTCATGTGCGTCATTCCTCCTTTCTATCACGAGCCCCTATAAAGTTTGGGTCTTTATAACACTCCACCGGCCCCACCCTCCTCACCGTCAACTTCACACCATGGACAAATTATCTTCTGTTATTGCTGCTCTCGCCGCAGGCAAGCTCCCCACCCAGAAGCAGGTGGATACTGCAATCGACTGGACACTCCAGAATATTGTCGCCAGCGTCGAATCTCCCGAAACAGGAAAGATCAGCGAGCCGGGCAAAGTTCTTGCGCGCGCTATACAAGACCTCCTCATTGCCTATAAAAAACTTGGGAACAATAAAAATTGTGAGCATTTCAACTTCCCTCAATCCTCAAATCTGATTGCGGTACAGATGACAACCTCTTGCAACAAGTTCTCTGGCACCTCTCTGAGGGAGATTTCTCAGACATGCGTGTAGAAGCAATTGATATAGATGAAGCTTCTTCCGATATCCATTCCATCCGCTCCACCATTCGTACTCTTCTACACATTCTGTGGACAAACGTCAGCGATGAAGGAAATGTCCTCCTGAATGACTTTGCGTCCTTTGCGCGTCTGGCGATGGCTGACCTCGCAGGGGGTATTGAAACCGGAGCCGTTTACACCAAGCAAAGCATACGCGAGCTCGATACAGAGGTGCAGCAAGGTGAACGGGACAATCTGGGGCGCAAGCTAAAGACCCCTGAAGAAATTGAGCGGGAGCGCGAGGAGGACATGAAGGCGAAATTTGAGAACACGATGGATACCGCAAAAGAGGCCGGACTCAAGGGTATAGGCGTTGGGCAAAAGGTGAAGGCATCCGCTGAAGAAATGGCTGAGCGCACACGTATTCGCCTGCAGGAGACCTATTATAATGTTTGTTTTTTCTTTGGTCAGACCTTACAGTGCTCACAGTATTTTGCGCAGATCTGTGAACGTGCGCAGAAGGACGAAGACTATCACCGCGCCATCTCCACACTTTTCAACATCGTGTCGAAGTGGATCAACAAATCTCTTGACACTGCTGCTAATATTAATCAGTCTACGATCGTCAGTCGCTCGAGTCCCTCATTGACGATCCATCAAAAGATAAGCATGTGCTTAAAGCCCTTCATGGCATACGCACTCTCGTCGAGCGCGCCGCTGGTGGTAAGTCCTTGAATGACGTCATCGCCAAGGCCCGTCTGTGCGCTGTACACGTCAGGAATGACGAGGACCTAAAGAAGTGGTTCAACGATTTCTTCGCTCATGTCCGGAAGAGTCTCGATGAACCTGCCTATGCACGATCAGAAGAAGCTCGTCACATGCACCAACAGCTAGGGGAGCGCTGGAGGCAGCTTCTTGACCAAGACTCAAATGCAGCGCGCAAGTGGAAAGAGGATGTGCAGGCCTCTCAGGGAGGAGCTTCATGAGTTCCAACAGGCGATCTCAAGAGATGTAGACCTGCAGCGTGTGCGGAAGGCACATGCTACGTTTGGTCAAGACTTGGCGCAGAGCGTTGGCACGGGCGGACGCATTGGTATGCAGTTTGCCCTCGATCAGGCCTCATGGTTCTGGCAGGACGTGTTCAACGTTTATGCACCACGCCTCTTGCGCGTTATCGAGGACATTCCGACTCCACGGTGAGTTCCTGAGGTAACTCGCGTTTTCAGCATTCGTTGACGAGCTTGATAGAACCGAGTATGTTGATAATGAGATCGAATTTGTGCTCGAGAATTTCAACATCTCGTCGTTGAGCTTGCTTCCTGGGCACGTCTACATTCGCAATATCACTGACGTCGACATCACTGCCCCCGCTGGGCCGCAGTCAACCACCACTGCCATTGGCACACTCACACACATCCGGATGCAAGCAGTCCAGCTCGCGCTTCAAGAGGTATCATTCTTCTACAGGGACAAGACTGCTATTGTCGGGCCCAAGGACTTCACAGGTCTCATGGAGTTTAGTCTGCCACCAAAGGGTATCGATATCGATCTCAAGTTCCGCTTGATCCCAAACACGCCCGAAGGTCTCCGGGAGCGTGAGCTTCTTGGACGCTTCTTTAAGATCGAGCGCATCGAGGTGAACGTGGCGGAAGATATCAACTTGCAAGTCAAGCAGTCCAACCATCCCATCCTCGCATCCGTCTTCAGGCCTGTCATCATGCTTCGTTTCCGCGAGGCGATTTCACGCACCCTCGAAGAGCAAATACGGGGGTTGTTCGATACTGCCGATGCTTTGGCATTTGATATTGGACGACGCTCAGAGGTGTTCGAGGATGCTGGACTTGGGACTACGTCATCTGTCGTTGCTGCAATGTGGAGCGAGATAGGGAAGCTCCGGCGGATGGAGAGTGGCTTGCTATCTGGTTGGAGAGCAACTGGGACAGGAATTGTCAAGGATGATTTGGCTGGCAACGCAAAGATCGCGATGGGCGCGGAACCACAGATTCTTGCGGGGGAGAAGAGAGGTCCCTTGGGAACTCATGCAGAGCCGCTTGCAGAAAGGATTCATGGTGCGGAAGTCGGAGGTGTCTTGGAAGGTGCGACGACTGCCGTTGAACAGGTAGAGCAGGTCGGCAAGGAAGGTTTAAAGCAGGTGCAGAGTTTCAAGGAAAGCGTCGAACATAAGAAGAGGGAGGAGGAGAAGCGGAGGGGATGGCAGAGTCCAGCATTCGATTTCTAATCATCGATCGTTGTATACTTTTCATTTCTTTCTCAGTCTTCATTATGTATGTTTACAAGCACATGAATAAACGGATAGGTGTGCAAGACGCTGAGATGAATGACTATTCCCGCTTCCTCTTGAGGTTACCACGCACGTTTGCACCTTGCATAGCACACAACGGTCCCTTCTCGAGTATCTTGTGTTCTGTAGTATCAAACTCCATCC